CTTGGGCCTAATGATACTCTTATGGGTATACTGGGATTTGGTGGACTGACTAAGAAAAGAGTTGTTTATATAAGTTGCCTCGAAGGTATGCATTAGGGTATGGATAATTATATTTTGAACCATTAGATTGCTGTAGTTATGAAGCCAAAAAGTGGGACTTGCTGCAATTTGAAAGTTGCACTTCCGACCGGATCTCTGCCTTTGTAACAAGTTTAACTGCCAACTGGAAGCTTCCTTCCAAGGGAGTTCATTGTTTTAACCCTTGACCTATTTAAGTTACTTCCTTAGAGCATCATCGGAATTTGGTTTTCTGCACATGGTTGAGAGATGATTTGAAATAGCATGGTATTGTTAACCATGTTAATCCATTCACTGGGTCAGCAAGAAGTTCCAGTGGATGTTAGCTCTTTGGATATGGGTAGGCACCTTACTTGCGAGGGCATTTGCAATTGCTACTGCACTTGATATATCTGGTGAAACTTACAAAGATTTAATGATTTTTGTTTGTATTACGTCTAGCACACGTAGGCGAGGATATGTTGTGCATGAAAAGTTTTGTTGCTTTCAGATACTTTATTGGAATGGATGATTTTGCTACAATGCTTGTCTATATTTGTGTCTCTTTTTTGCAACAGTTCTCTTATGATTAGATAAGTATACGCTGCCAATTTTTTAGAAATATGTGTTGAATTTGTCTCATATATTTATATCTTTTGAGAACAGAAAATTCCATGAACTTTCTTCTTTACATTGCAGGTCTTTTTTGATTCCAGAATCAATGAATGAAGGTGTTTGTATATCTCTTGCTTATGGTCCTAAATGTGGGGATATTGTTGCTTCTTTTCGTCCTAGAGTTGAGACAGCAGGAGTAAACCTTTCGCCTTCGTTGTCCACTCCATCCGCCTCTCTCTTGGGGCAAGGAGTACAGGGTTCTCATGTCCTTTACAAGAGAGTTGGTAGCGCTCAAAGATATCATAAATTAAGGTCTACTTCTGCAAGTGTAAATGACATTCGGCTACCGAAATCTGCTATAGTTGACAGAGTGAATCTGAAATCGTTGTATGCTGCTGGGGATGAAGTAACAGGTGACTTGGTCTTGCAACAGTTGCCTTGTTTAGTGGATGTTCAGCGTCTAAAGTCTCGGAAATGTGTTCGTGATGTGAAATACTCGCAGATCCTAAACTCGGAGTTGCTTAGTTGCTTGAGTGAGGACACATTGCAACTTTTTTCGTCTAAGATGTCATGAACATAGGTACATTTTTTCTTAATGGTTTGCTGTATATTTTTCTGATTTCAATCGGTTTTAATGCCTTGTGTGTTGAAGCTTGCTGTCCTGCACACATTTGAGGATAATAATGTTTGTTGGGAAAATCTGCTTTCGTATTGTTTTCTGAGAGTCTTAATTGACCAAATTTCGAAATTTCATTTTGATTCTGGAATTTTGTGTAGATTATGAATTAGGAAGAGAAGTACAGGAAAGCAAACATGCCTGCTATACATTTCAAATCGACATAGTTCAAAGTTTTGCACGGTGATGGCTGCTATATTCCCTTTTAATATTCTTGCATGTTGTAGCAGAACTTCTTCTACATGTATTAGACTTATCCAGTAATCCTCCCATTTTAATTGTTGAGCTTCTAAAGAGATTCTGTATGAAACAAGTGCTCTACGAATTGACTGAAGCTATTATATTTGCAGACAGTATTAGTTTTCTAACTCTTCATCTTGCTGCAATTTGGTCCTTGTTTGTTCATATTCCTCACGATGTGTAATTGCTGTTTGCAGATAGCAGCTGAAGCAACAAATTCATGATGGATATTTCCCGCTCTAGGAGGCTATGAATATTAAACTTTTTTTTTTTCTTTTTTTGCTGTATATATCAAGTTTTTGCCTTTGCAAAAGCTGTTAGATAGTTTTAGTTCTATTTTGTAGATAGGCAGTAGGGATTGTCTTTGTAAATCTGGTTGAAGCTTTTTTGTCTAGGCATATTTATTAAAATTTTTCCTTCTCGCGTTTTCCTCTGCTCGTGGTTAGCGCCGTCTCTTTACCATGTTACTGTTTCTTTTCCTTGCTTCATGGATTTGAAGATTCGAATGTTTTGCTGTTCTATTTCCAGCTGCTCAACTTTGGAGGTTGACAGTTTCAGAATCCAGCCAAGGCTTTTATGCCAATGTTTTTAAAATGAGAAACAGAAATTGACCTCAAAATCTTGAATATGGGTTTTCATCGATCAATACCCTCGAGTCTTGTCCGGAAAATATTCTCAAGTCCATCATTTTTGGATTTGTGTCTCTCAAACTTTTTAGGTTCAGTTTTAGTTTGGAAGCTTACCTTGACTTTACATCTCTTTATATATATGAAGCATGAGGATCCTTTGCTGTTTAAAATTTCAGTCATTTAATGCACTGCTTAATATACCCTTCTTCTTTTAAACTTTTTAAAACTTATTTCCCCTTTTTCGTTGCGCACTTTTCTATCTCTCTGTCAATGATATTTAGCATAACTCGCTCCAAATTGCCACTAACCGATGATGCTCATAAAATATTTCAAAAAAGTAATAGTGGTAAGTTACACCTAGTTTTCTCATACTTTGTTCCTCTAATTGATTTGGTATTCTTCTTTTTGAAAATTATTTATTCATTATTTTCTTATACGATATGAACACATCTTATCCACTAATATATGATAGTGGGGAAAAATCATATTATTAAATTCGGTCTGGGAAGGAGCCCGTGAAGGATCGAGTCACCAGTTTTTACTGTATATTCTTTTTTGTTCTCAATCCTTGAGCCGTTGACTTGGGCTGCATAAATTGTTGTTCAATTTGAAGAGGGAAAGGAGAAAAAGATTGAGAGTTGGGTTGTATAAATTTTTGTTTAATTTGAAGAGGAAAACGTAAAAAAATGGATAAAAAAAGATCCGAGCCAGGGTGTATAACTTGTTGTTCACTTTGAAGAAAGAAAGGGGAAAACAGCCCCTTTCGTCCGCTCTCCCCACAATGAAAATACTATCTGCTCCGTAGTCCGTTCCATTGTCATCGCGCCGTGTTTTCACTTTATTAATGTTTCAAAATAAGAATCATCATTTCATATTTAACACATGATTTTCAATCTTACCATTTGAAAAAATAACTTTTTAAAATCCCGATACACATTTGTCAAGAGAATATTTTGAATTTAAAAGATACATATATAAATTTATTAATGTCACCTCCTATAAATATAATGATTACTATGTATCCATAAAAAGTTGGATTTTCAAAAAACGACTCTAATATTGGAACGGAGAGGATAATATAATGAATAACAAATTGCATGAACTTGGATCAGCAATAAAGAAATATGCAACGATTTGATTTGGACTACCCAATTTGTTTGTCCATTTAGATTGGCGGAATAATAATGATAAAGAAGGTGGAAGCGGGAGGGAAAAGAGTCCACGGAAAACAGAATTCATGGGTTGTTTCGGATTCAGTTTGAAGAGGGAAAGGGGGAAAAATGGGTAAAAAAAATATTTGATCTGCCAAATTATACAAACACCCTCCATGTATTATCAGCGAGCGTTGGATGCAAGGCAAATATTTAAAACACATTCCAAATAAAAGGAGAATCAGACGCAACCGTGCTTGCTATTAAAAATAAAAAAAAAAAAAAAAAAAAAAAAAAAAAGGAGGAGGGAGCCAAGGAGAAGGTTTCTGTGATAACAGATTGCCACGTATTAAAACAACTGACGTGGCAGCTCAAGATGGACCTGATACGGCATGAATCGTGGAGGGTCCACCATCACATATCAAGACTTCATTTATTTGTTTTTCATAACTTTTTGATTGGCATTTTTTCTTTTCTTTAGCGGGTTACAACAAACAGCTCATGTATTATTTAGTTCTTCGTCAGCTCAGCTCAGATTCGATTTTACTAGCCCTTCATCTTGTTTTTAACCATTCTAATCTCCTCCATTATGATCCAAATAAGCTCAGTACTTTCCTTCGTGTGATCTCCAGCTCGTCTTTTCCGGTTTCACCTCAGACGACGGATCGCCCTTCGATGAAAAAAATCAACACTGGAAGTAAAACTGACTGCTGATTCTCGATTGATATTACAAGGATGAACCCGAACCCATAAACAAATCAATAAGAAAAACCAAATAACGACAATGATAATGCCTGTCTGCTCTGCTTTTCGTTTTTGTGTTTGTCATCTTTCGCAACTAATCATGCAATTCAAATCCACATTATGAGATGCTAAAATGAGAAAAAGGTTAGGAGGAGGAAAAGGAGATAAAGGGCTTGTGCTATACCACATCTTTTTAATACATTCCATCTTCTATTCCCTACATGGAAAAGCTTTGTTAATTGGAGAAAAGCCCCACTAACCATCTGTTTCGTCTCTCAATGTCCTGGAAGAGAGAGGCTTTCTAAATTATAGAATGCTCATTCATTCTTCATCTCTTCTGCCAATTCAACTCCACGATGTCGGAAAAAATGGAGCGGCTAACTCAAAAACGATTAAACGACGTGTAAATGGACCAAATAAGCCTGTAAATGGATCTGATAAACGTACGATTGAACTTTCAAAATCTGTTCGATTCGAGGATCTGGACTGCATAATTTGAAAAAGTTGTGTTGTTAGGCCAATGCAGAATCCGAAACAAATTCGAAGCATTATTCCCACATAATAATTAATATTTCATTTGAGTGATAGCTACAATACAGACCATCTGATGAGTGGCCAGAGACCGACCAGTCCATCGGTTTGTTTCTTTTGCAACAAACCGATTTCGCTTTACTTGGAAATGACAATTGAATACGTCCAATTGGACGGAAAGCCACCGCGTACGTGGCCTCATTATTCCTAGCTGTCACGCTCTCTTTATCTTTTTTTCTCTTCTTTTTTTCGGGTGATGTCTGGTCGTAGATTTATATGTGTACGTGCGCGACACTATCAAAATCAACGAAAACTACACAAATTTCTTATTTTCTTTCTGCCTTTTTTTTTGGGAGATTTTGTTGCAGGCAAGCAGGATGCATCTCAGGCCACCCCAAGATCCATTCACTTTCACACTCGTGAGATTAAGGACTGAATTTTATGTAGAAAACTGTTGTGTAAATTTCACTCCCAATCGATTTAATATAATATACTAGCGCCAGCATTCCGGTGTTAGGGAATGGTCCCTTTTGTAGTCCCTGCAATAATCGTAAGCCAAGTAGTGACTTTGGACCCACTGCATAGCCCTGTACTGCTGGCTGCTCAGCCCACCGGAACGAAACGGTGAGGCGGACACCGGGCGACACCAAGCCGGTGCATAGGCGGTGCAACCACTCGCTTTAAAGTTTGTGAATTTTCCGATGAATGGTTGGTAGCGGTAATCGGCCTTGTACTTTCCATCCTCGGTCGCCCAGGAAGATGCATCCCATATGGATCCATACACCCACATTGGCCTCAGGGGGAATGTTGCTGCACTCTTTCTGGGGTATCTCCTTATCGGAACATCATCCACGAGGAATCTGTAACCCATCAATCAATTATGAGGCGATGCATCACTTATTCATTCTGTTCAATGCCATGCAACGACTGGGAATCACGAGTGATGGTCATTTCTTTTCTAGTCAACTTTAACGGTCGCATTATTGTATTGAAGTGACTCTGATTTTAATTATTGCATATTCTGTTCTGTACACTCGAATGATACGTGACACTGAGAGGAATTAGTTTAGTTCCCCACTTGGGGTTAACTATTGTAAATCCACAACTTTACTGACATTGCATCATAAGATGGGCAGTTAAAAAAGGGGGGAAAAAAAATTTATACAGTGCGAATTTAGAATGGATGAGTTTTTGTTTGACTCGACGATTGCTGAGAACACTGCAATTGTTAATTATGTTATGTGAACTAAACCCGCCAGGCAGAAAGGTGTTTATGAAAAGTTAATACCAATTGCACCAACTACAGTACAAGATTCCTACTTCCGCATGTACTTTCTCTGTTTTCGTTTCTTTATGAAGTAGTACTTAATGATCATAATTACGCTAAAAGTAAGTAAACACCCTCTGAGTCTGAGACGGCACCCAGAAATAAATACAGAAAGAGAAAACAAGAAGAAGAAGAAAGAAAGAGAGACTGCAGCTTTAAAAAGTTAATGACCACCTGAGGTGGCAAGATCTTATTGGCTGGACTCTGGACCAATAGAGGTAATATGGTAGTGTCCTATACAATTGCAATATTTATTTGCCTCGTGTAGTTGAACTTGAACACCAGAGCATGGATCTTTTTTTTTTTTTTTTGCTGGATGGATTTTAAGGATGAAACAAGTTGAGAGAGGAGAGACAGTGTAGCAGGACAGGCACTTACATAATCTCCTTAGGATTCCAGAGGATGGCATAGTGATGAAAATGTCGGGTGGGATCGAACCACAGATGGAACTTCATCTCTCTCCCAATTATCCTCCCATCGCCACTTCCCCGGATGTAAACGTTTGTTTGCAACGTGTACGGCTTCCCAAACGTAGTCCCAAGGAACTCGATATCCACCTCATCATGGAACCCCGGATGAGCTTCGTTGTTAGAAAGCTGCCATTATATTACCCATTCCACATCATGATAATTTACAGTTACCATGTAAAGCCATAATTAATCACAGCAGAGCAAGTCAAAAAAAAAAAAAATTTTCTCTTAGTACATAGAAGGCGGTTATGACTCCTGCAGTATAACCAGGTTGGAGCTTGATGGAAGCACCAAAATAGCCCGATCGAAAGGGTTTCACGGACTTAAACCCGCTACCTGCAGAAATTGAAGTCAGCAAGCGTAGTACGTTTTGTAAAATAATTCTTTATTTAAAAAAAAAAAAAGAAAAATGGAAAAAACCACAAGTGGAACTGTAGCACTACTGCAGAACCTGAAGAGCTATCGAGCCAAATAGTAATGCCACTATTGTCAACACTCTGATGATTGGCACCCCAGAGGTTTCTGTAGCCTTTATAAAAGCTCATGGACCTAAACCTGGAACTTGGGTAGTAGCCAGGGGAAGGCGGCCAATAACCAGCATTGGTTGGACTTATTACAACAATGTTGAGTATCATGAGAAGAAGTGGGAGCTGAGAAGGGAAAGCAGCCATTGGTGAAATCAGGTTGGACAGGATAAGCAGCAACGCCACCTGCAGGAATGTGTGAATTGAATTGAAGATGAGAGGAGTAACTAACAACTACGAGCGATACTAGTATAGTAGCAGTATGTAGGATGAAAAACAGAAGAGTTATTAAACTATATATAGTAGTGCCTGCTTGGGATATAAATGCAGGTTGAGAGGTAAAGAAGACAGGAGGCTACTAAAGCACTGTGTGTATGCAAGTGAAAGAGTATGGTGGAACAGTCGATATAAATTAAAAGTCTAGCAGGCCCACTGCCCACCAATGCCAAGATGATTGATGATCATGAATGTTGAATACCATCAACAGTATTTGTGGTAACATATTCCACTGTAGGATCAGAATTTCAAAAATTACAGTTTTAATTCTAAATCCCGAAATATTAAATTCAGTGTTTTTTTTCCCTCCCCCTCCCCCCAAAAAAGAAAAAAATCCCATTCTGTCAAAAATGGAAATGAAGCCTAACCTCCCTTAAGTGTTTTTTTTCCCTTCCCCTCCCCCCAAAAAAGAAAAAAAATCCCATTCTGTCAAAAATGGAAATGAAGCCTAACCTCCCACGTACCGCGATGTATGAAACAAGAATATAGGGTTCGAGTCTTGATATGTGTGAAAAAACTTGAACTTCCGTCTCAAAATTAATTGACAATGAGTGGACTAACACAGGATTTTTATTAGTTGATTTAGTTGAATTTGACTAATTCAAGTGAGATTGGAATGAATTTCTTTAACAGCATATATACCACAAGGACCAGAAGATTCGTAGTCTTTATCCGTCTTGATGATCATGGACTGCAAACATAAGTAGGTAGTGCATCATTTCTAAAGAGCTAGCTAGCAATATAGGAATTTAAAAACACTTCATTTAAGATAGGACGAAAATCTTGAACTATTTCTACTCCAAAAAGAGCAAAAGAGGCTGTCTTCGAGGACTAACTGTTCTAACTTACATGGCATAGTACGAAGTACTGGCTGGCGAGCCATGCCTCTCGAGTTTCTTTACTAACTGTGAGCTACGAGGGTACTGAGGTTCTAGTATACTGAAGAACTGGGAGCATAAACAAAGGGACATGATAATCAGACAGACAGTACAATGATTTTCAATCGCAAGTCACAACCACTTTTCCTTTCCCCCATTATGGAAGAATAGTTTAGCTTTGGTTGCAAGACGGGATAGATATAGCTTAGAAAACAAGACGAGATCCAAACATCTAAGAGAGGGGGCTGGAATGGAAGGGGAGAGGGGGGGCGCATGGGATCATGGATGACTTGAGAGGCAGGCAGATCCAATTATAAATGTGCCTTCTTCCTATGCATTCTTGTGTGTATCATGCAGTTCGTGCGTGACCCTACAGGATCTTGGCCTCCTCCTCAACTCCTCTTGCCTTTATCTGCAGTGAAAGCAACATGCACAACTAGTATTTATTTTTTGTCTGAATATATCTTTTCATTTTTTTGGTTTCAGATTCTTTTAGGATTGAGAGTAGCTGAAACTTTAAAGCTACGAATTTTAGCTTTCACACCCCACTCCGATCCGCTGTAATTTTTCACTCCACCCTTACCCTTCTTTAATGTGATCCGGGCCAGTCACCGCTGCGAGGGACGAATTGTCGGTCAGCTCCTGTTTTCAAGTTTTAACCCAACCCTGCCGAGTATTATGAGATTTCCTACGCATTCAATTTTTTAAAGTTTGGTGGACCACCCATTGAAATAACTCTTTCAATAATTCCCCCGACGATCATTATTTTTTAATCTTTTCTTATATCTATGTATAGTATCTTTTTTTTTTTTTTTTATTGAAGAACACCAATTTCTTTGAAAGTCAGGAATCGTTTTTTGCTCACAAAAAGAAAAAGAGATATAGATGCTTGACATTGATATCCGTACACACACACACACACGTATTGTCTTGGGCTTGTGAAATGGACATTCATAGTGATGATAAGAATTCTGTAGCAGGCGCGGGCGAATTGGCTGCTATATATATATACGTAAGCAGTGGCTAGTAGTATATTAGACAATATTAAGGTCAAATTTCCAAATTAATTAATTAGGATCCTCTCATGTTGGCCGTTGCGGTATCAATTTAAGTAAATAGTTTGTTCCACTATTCAAGTTTAACAACAACGTCTATCTCTATCTATCGTGTGGTTAAAATCAATTTTTCAATTTGATTGTACGACGGATTATCTTGAAACATTGTTTGGACAACAAGAATTTGAGGTAAAAATTTCAGATTTTGTTTTGCTTGCATCATACACACAATTCCCAATCACCTTTTTATCTCACATACATCACATCATAAAATGTGCTACAGTAACTATATCAAATAAATCATCCAAATAAATTCTTATCCAAACAATTGATTTTGGTGTGCATGTAAACGAGGTACTCTGCCAACTGAGTTATAACCCTTTACTTGTATGACTTCGATGTCTCCTATTTTTTTAAAAAGTGATTTGATTGATTGATGGGATTTGGTATGAGATCAATGAGATTGATATTCAAATATTTCTTTTGTGTATTTTGTGCACATCATACTAACAAATTGACCCTTAATTAGGTCCCAAATTTAACATCCAATGCTAATACATGATTCCTGAAAAGCTAGCGTTGGGTTTCATTTCAAGAAATCAGTTCTTGCCGTCAGGATCAAATGCATGTGTCTGTTTATTTTCTGAATAGCAAGTTGGGGAGAAAATTTTTAAGCCATTATAGAGAAATGATTTCACGATGCAGGTATTTCTAAGTTCGATGCGGTTGGACAAAAAAGTTTAGAAAACTATTTCAAGAGGTGAGGACTGAGGAGTCGAAGGTGGGTATATCTCCGTGGGATCAGATGGCATATTGTCCAGATATTATCCTGAATTCTCTGTGTGAAAACGAACAATACCGTTTTCTGTCGGACTGGGGGCGCTGAATCAATCTTTTAGTATCTTACTTTAACCATCATACAAGGAAAGCCTGGCTATATATGGGTATCAGATTAAAGAGGTAAAGCCATTAATTAGACCTAGTGCATAACCTGGTACACTGTCTCTTGTGGGTGGCCGTGAAATTTGATTGCTAACTTAGCAATGTGATAGTGCTACTCTTGTTCAAATTCCTTCTTCTTCCTAAAACTAAAAAAGGTGACAAGAATTGCTGCAAAAACAAACCTGCTATAAGTATAGTTCCTGATCAATAAATTAGAGGTCTATTGGCAACTACAGAGTTGATTGGACCCTGAAATTTGACGTTGAGGGTACCTCCCTTATTGGTTCTTTTGGCAGCCATGTGTGTCAAACTTTCTTTTTCTTTTACTTTCAAACTTGAATGAATGTGTTAACTGATGGATTAATATGTTGTCTGATATATATATATATATATATGTATATAAATCATCCTATACCACTTATGCAGATGTAGCTTTTGTTGATGGCATATATGAAATGGTTACATGCCGAATGACGATACAATTATTTACAGTGTTAACGGACGATCACATTCTGATTCGTGAAGAGCAAAAAATGAATCATTGAAACCGAATACATATGTGTTAGCATGTTTTTTGACAGTTAGATCTGATTAAAACTGTTGAAATCCAGAGAAAAATTTAAATTTGACAATAATTAAAAAAATTATGAATACGAGAAACTAGAAATGTCCCATATTTTAACCATACAAAATCTCTTCAAACCGAACAACATTTAAAAGACATTTGAACTGACATATTATTAATTATTTCTCAATAATCTGTGATGCCAGTAGTGTTTATATGCAGACAAACACTACCAGCAATCAATCATTCATATAAAATGGAAATGAATAACATGCCAACCAAAATCACAGTTGAACCGATCATAACAAGCCAACCTTAATTAATTAATTCATTGGTTTAGCATAAGCTGTAATCTGTAGACAGACCCCGAATCAAACTAAATATTATGTCGGCATCGGAAATTTCTCCCGCCTGCCTACTGTTTTTCAATTTTCTCGGGCTGGGCTAGGCTAGGCTAGGCTAGGCTATGCTGCCTCTCCCTCTCATACTCACTCTACGAAGACTCTTCAAAGACATTGCAAAAGGGTAAGGCGGGCCCATCCACCGACAAATCAAGAAGCCGGGAGCACGCATTAATAATGCACCTCCTCCCTGTCTCTTACTTCTAAGTAAGTTTTTTTTTTTTTTTTCAAAGCTTGGATGCTTGTGATGGCATAATATAATAAAACGCCATGGCGTCCAAATCTGCGAGGACTAGGAGCAGGGGCGGATTTAAGGTGTGCCCCCGCTGTCCCTTAATTCTTATAATACTTATATAATTTTAATATAATTTTAAGTGTGCTTCCAGAGTTTTCTTAAAAAGGATGTGAAAGAATTACATAAATTTTTAAATTAATTCATAAACTAAAATTCTAAAAAGATACGTGGGGTCATAAATTCCATTTGAAATAAGATAAAAAAAAATCTTTTCATTTCAACTAGCAAGTATCAATCATATCATTCACTTTCTTTGGGCTCCACTCCCCAATTTCCCTTCCCTCCTTTGGTCCCCCATTTTTCCCCCACAACCAAGAGCTACTACCTTTCACAACCAAAGAGCTAGCTACTCTTTCTCTTGATCAGTTCATCCAATCATATCATTCACTTCCTTTGTCCCCACTTCCCAATTTCCCTTCCCTCCATTGGTCCCCCATTTTCCCTCTACAACCGAGAGTCATTCTTACTTCCACGACCAAGTTAGTTATCAAAATATAAAAACTCGCAGTGAGCAATTGTAAATAGTTTAGTTTGTTTTTGAAATAAAATTATTATTACATTAATAATTTTGAATTTATCTTTTTATGTTTTTCATGGAATATATGCATCATTTGTACTTGTTGGTGAATTTTTTTTCTTAAAAAAATTAGAAAAAGAGTAAGTAAAAAATTTTAATGTTGCTTTTGCCCCCATTAAAATTTTTTTCTGGCTCCGCCACTGACTAGGAGAACACAACAGCCACTTCCATTTTCAAAGCATTTAATAATAATAACTACGAAAAGAAGAAGATAGCGAGCGGGTCAGGGGTAAGGTTGTTTTTGACGGTCTCCTCATTTTTTCCTGAGGCAAATTCAATTGAGATTTTGGTGTCAACAGTAATTCTTTGGTGATCTCGTTGTCAAAGGCCTAAGACCTGCCTT